GTTTATGTTGTTCATCAGTTTATGATGTTTGTTATATTCCACAAGTGAGGGAGATCAGAAATACACAGAAGCTTTTAAATTCAAGTGTGATTAAAAGATGAATGTGGTGAATTCCATGACTTTCCAACACAATCATGTTGAACCAATTCAAGAAAAATTAGTGCAAGGTTAACATGTTTCCTGGCTCAGTAAGTAAGGGTGTGTTAGCTTTAAAATAAAAGGCTTTTCAAAGGGAGAGGCAATAAGCATTTATTACAATCAATAAAAACAACTATTCAGGAATCATTAATTCAGGCAGAATCCTAAGTAATGTTTTGATTAACAGAAAAAGGCAATGGGTATTTATGAGAAAGGAAAGGGAGGCAATTACATCAATAGAATGAGGCATTTCTATTGGTACAGACAACATACAATGATGTGAATTCTAAACAATATTTAAAATTTTCAGTCCAGTAGTCATGATAACTGTTTTTCTTGGTATCTTTGCAAACAGTTCTTTGGGAAACAGTGCTTAGACCCAGTCCAGAGGGGTTTTTTTTGTTTTGTTTTTTTCCATGTTTCATCATTCTAAAGGTTTGATGAATAAAATATGCAAAGCAGTTCCTCTGATATGGCAGCCCTAGTTCCATTTTAAAGTGGCTCTGTGGGGGGGGTTTTCCTGTTTGTTTGTTTTTTATATGGTTTTGTTTTTATTTGTTTTTTGTTGTTGTTGCTGCTGTTGTGTTTGTTTGTTTGTTTGTTTGTCAGATGGGTCTAAGTAAGTCAATAAGTCTTTATTAAACCCCTAAAGTTACTGATTAGTTTTACTGTAAGCTGTTCATTAACTTGTGTGACAAGTGTCAAGTTAACAGCAGAAGGTATTAATTCCATTTGGATTATCAGCAGTGTTATTCCCCTAGCATATTCAAGATTTTGCTGAAAAACTTGGATGCCATTCTACCTGCTATTTTATGTAATTCTCTAGACCTATATTTTGCTGTTAAATCTCCAATAACATCTCTTATTGAGCCAATGCCTATTTAAAAGCACTATGCTGTGGTTCGGGCAAGTATCAATTCGAGAACAGGTGAAATGTGACTTTGGAATCCTCCAGTCCTCTTTCTGTGTTTACCTCTTTGATAACTTCCATATTTCCTTCTGCCCTGCAGCCTTTCATTCATAATGAAATTCATTCTTTGTCTCTTTGCTAACCAAATCCATCAAGACTCCAAGGAAAGAAATATAGAACAGAATGCATACCCTATTCATATCAGAATTTCTGTCAAATATAAGATATATATAACATAGAAAGTATGCTTTCTGACCCAACAGTACCTAAAGAGTAACAACTTATTAGGAAACATTGGTGTTAGAAATACACCCAGGGTTATTGATAAGGTCCTGGGCTGAGTCTTCCAACAGCCCATCCATTTTATAAAAGAAGCTTACCTACATTCTTTTACCCTGGACTGATTCAAAGGGGTCATTATGATGGCCACATTTAGAGATATTGTTACTAACGTATCAGTTAGTCGTGCACAGCAAAGTATACAGGTAGCAGTTCTACCAAGGCATTTAGATTTTTTAAAGTACTCATGTTTGAATACTTAATCCAAGAGTTAAATCTTTGCTGGGTAATTTCAAATATCAGCTGGAAGTGGGACCTACCCAACTAGAAAAAAATACCAAGAGTTATGGAAGCACTACTTCACACCTCTGTTTTAAAGACTTGTTGGATTTTATTTTACATCATTTTTGAAATTTAAGTTGTGTAAATAAACACACAGTTGAAGTGATTTACACGCAAACTTCTACATAGTCAATCAGAGAGAGATACATAGAATGAATTAATCAAGCAACTGAAAAATCCTCTTGTGGTTAAAAATAAAATCAGTAGTTGGCAAAGGTAGGACCTCTGTGACCATAAGCATCCTCCCTCTGTTCCTGACCCAGAAAATGAGTGATTAAAAAGCCTTGAGCCAGCCAAGAGTTGATTACAGTATAGGAAGTGCTTTTCTTCATAATGAGCCAAAAGCTTGCTAGAGACCGTGGGAAAGAACAGGTTTTTGGAATCAGATATAAATTTCTACCCCAGTTTGTGTAACCTTAAGAAAGTTAGCTGTGACCCTCAGTTTCCATATCTATAAAATAACACTCACAGGGCTACTGGGAGGATCAAATGACAGTACCTGTGCTCTTAACATATAGCAGGCATTTAATAAATACCCTCCACAGGGATATCAGGTCATATCTTCTGTGTGTCCTTGGACACCTTACTTCCCAACTCCTTACAGCAGCTATTCCAAGCTTGACTCCTCTCCTCATCTCTCTCCAGACACACGAGGCTGTAGAAACTCTCAGCCTCACACAAAGAGCCTTCTTTGCTCCACACCTCCGTCCCCTTCTCAGGATTAATCCTCTCACCTGTGTTCTTTGTCGGCTCTGTTGACTTGAATGCTAATCCATTATTGATTCTCTATCTATCACATGTTTTCAAACCATTCCTGTGTGCTGCCTTTGCCCCATAGGCTTTATGTTTCTGCTATATTAAAATTAACTTTAAAATTTATTATTGAACACCTACCCAGTCCCAAACACTATCCTAACATTAGGGCTACAGAGGAAAACTTTGAGCTTATAGAACCTTCTTTAACCACAGTTCTTCATCTGTACCCTGAGAATCATGCCTGGATCCCACCTATCTCATATGGGCATTGAGTCAGATTAAATTTAACAGTCCAGACAAAGCAGAAAACACAAGCCCATTGAATGACCTTTTTACCATGCTAAGGTATGAGGAGAGTAAAAACAAAAGTGAGCTAACTAGGGAAGTTGGAGGAACAGTGTTAAGGGTCCTACTACAGACCATGAATTTATAATGGCACCATTTTGGATGCATGGACCATTTTCTCCAGAAAAGCCAGTGGTAGGCAGCCCCCTTAGGCCAGGTTCCTGGTCATCTCTTCGCAGCATTCTGTGCACTGCCCCTGGGTCATTTTGTCCATTTGTGTCTGGAAAAATAAAATTGGAAATAAAATATATTGGTGGCCAGGCCTGTGTAACATAGTGGCTGAGCATCAGCCTATGAACCAGATCACAGTTTTATACCTGGTCTGGGCACATGCCCTGGTTATGAGCAGGATCCCCAGTAGGGGGACATGTAGGAGGCAGCCGATAGATGATTCTGTCTCATCATTGATGTTTTTCTCTCTCCCTCTCCCCTCCTCTCTGAAATCAATAAAATTATATATTAAAAAAGTAATATATTGGCATATTGAAATTTAAATATATTTCCCCCAAAAGAGGTAAACTTAATTTTAGAAAAAGATAATATAGCAACAAGAACAAAAAATAACAGTATGACGGCAGTTAAACAACAATAAGAGATCAGATTTAACACCAACTCATGCCTATAAAATTAATGTTAAATGATAAGAAACTCTGCTCTCTCCATCAGATAAAATTTGTAAAACACCTGCACACTCCCCTCTTGTACTGACACGAAAATACAAGGGATGGGGGTAATAGCTTTGAGCCCACCTGGGGTACAGACCATTCATTTCCTTCACAGTTTTGGACTAGAAACCTGGTTAGTGTCAAAAAAAAAAGAAAAAAAAAAAAGGACTACAGAAGGAGTTTAGAGTTTCAAAGAAATATGTAAATTCAAGTGTGGATATTTGAGAACTGGAATGCTGCTCAAGGTAAATAAACAGGGCTACTTTGCTAGGTCTGGTTCTTTTTGTTGTTTTTTTGTTTGTTTTCTTTTGTTGTTGTTTTTGTTAATCCTCATCAGAGAGTATTTTTTCCATTGCTTTTCAAAGAGAGAGGGAGGGAGGAGAGAGAGAGAGAGAGAGAGAGAGAGAGAGAGAGAGAGAGAGAGAGAGAGAGAGAGAGAGAGAGAGAGAAACCTATTGGTTGCCTTGAGACCCTTTAGAGTGTGGGCCAGCGCTCTAACCACTGAGAAACACCAGCCAGGATGAAGATCTGGTTCTTAAACTGGAAAACAAGGGATTCATTCCCTTAGAAGTCACTGTAAAGATCCTGATAAACTTGCTGACACCATTGGCTTTTCCAATCCCTAGGGTCACCAAAGTGTGGGGTTGCCTGAAGCAGAGAGTAGAGTCTGTGGGCAAGAATGCCCAAGGATTAGACAGCAGCTCTATATTGATAGATTCCCAACTCTGTCTCCTACCAAACCCTTCTCTGAGCCAACTTCCTTACTCTGCATCCCCTCCTAAATGCTCCACAAACAACTCCACGCGGACACTTCTAAGCTAAGGATCTTCTTCACTAAGGTTTTCTCTTTGGGTGAATGCAACCAAGTAAACCAAGCCAAGAGCTTATCCCTCTTTCTTATTCTCCATCCCCAACCAGTAGCAGTAATGTAAATTCCATTTCCTTGAACATGTTTCCTGTAGACAACTCCTGCTCAGCTTTTTTTTTTTTTTTTTTTTTTTTTTTTAATAAATGAGAAAATGAAGACACACAAATAAATGCTAATGTTCTCAACTAATGAGCAAATGAAAATATTTTATTGCTCTGGAATAAAAGTTTTAATCATTCTCTCAGTCTGAAGAACTACTTTTTGCACAGGACAAAACTTAATGAACTTGATTTAACATAAGGCATTACTTCCTTTTAATAGCCAATCCCACAAACCACCTCTATAAAATTACTAGATTTTCATTTCTGAAAGGTATGGCACCAGAAACACTTCCTGTAAACTTGAATAATGCCTAAGGATTTTTTTAAATCAAGTATCCCAGGAAAGGAAGACCAGTTTATAGACATTTAATTGCCTCTCAAATACTGTTTGTGAGATCAAAAGCACTTTAACTTTCTAAAGCACAAAAACAGGAGTAAAACAATCCTATATAATAAGGAGGTAATATGCAAATTGACCATCACTCCAACACACAAGATGGCCGCCCCCATGTGGGCACAAGATAGCTGTCAGGGGAGGGCAGTTGTGGGCAACCAGGCCAGCAGGGAAAGGCAGTTGAGGGGACCCAGGCCTACAGGGAAGGACAGTTAGAGGCAACTAGGCCAGCAGGGGCAATTGGGCCAGCAGGGTAGTGGTTAGGCATCAGGGGAGTGGTTAGGGGGTGATCAGGCTAGCAGGGGAGTGGTTAGGGGGTGATCAGGCTGGCAGGCAGGCAAGCAGTTGTGAGCCAGCAGTCTTGAATTGTGAGAGGGGTCCCAGATTGGAAAGGGTGCAGGCTGGGCTGAGGGAAACACACACACACACACACACACACACACACACACACACACACACTTGCGTGTGCACACGTGCACAAATTTCGTGTACTGGGCCTCTAGTCTTAAACATAAAATAACATAATTTCTTAAACCAAGGTGAAAAACCTCACACACCTTTGCAGATATCTTATTTGACAAGTTACAAAGTTGTGGCGAAGGGTTGAAGCTGTTTAGTCAACAGCTGAAAAAAGGAATCTTAAATGAAAGGAGAGAGAGTTGTGCTTTTGCTTGACACCACTAGATGGCATCATGAGCAGTCTCACATAGGGTTTATGTAATCAATCTAGTTCTACTCAACTGTCATCTTCTATTACAAATCAGCATCTCAAGCCTTTGCAGTTTGCGGCCTGATCACATGAAAAGCTAAGAAACAGGACAAGATCAGACACTTGTGGGTAAAAATAAAAATTAGAAATAAGGGGCTGCAGCTCAACCCCAAGAGAATGTTAAATTACCTCCTGGACATGAGGCCAGATTGCCTATGATTTCTTCATTACCCCACATCTATCTCCCCCTCAGGCATCCAAAGTAACCTAATACAATTCCTAGATCTGCTGCTAAGAGTTCTGAAATCCTGTGCAGAGATGAACAAAAAAGGAGGAGAGTGGGAATGGTCTAGAAATACCAGCAGAACTGGATAAACATTTGAGTGCTTATAAATATTAAATTCTAAATATGAGCTCAAGAAAGGCCTCTGCTGGTCAGAAAGGATGGGGGAAGAAGGTTGGGAGCATTCCTAAGTCTGTGGACATCTTTCTCCTCATGCAAATGTCCTATCATCACCTGTTCAGAGTGATCTGTCACGCCTGGAGAATTTCACAGCCCAGGCAACACTTTACCATGACACATAACTATGACCTCTCAGGCTTCTTCCATATACCTATCTCATCTGAACTTCTCAGCAAGCCTACCCAGTAAGGCAATCCTTCTATGCCCACCTCGCACTGAGAAAAGTAAAGTTCACAGGAATTGGAGTTGTTTGAGCAATAGCACTGGAACAATAACCATGTGTTAGACCTCTTCTAACAATTTGGCTGGCTTCTCATGTTATAAATTGACTTTTAACTTTTTTTTTTTTAGCTTCATAGAAACAGAAACAAGAGATGAAATGCTAGGTGCAAATAAATCAATAAATACTGGTTTGTCAATGTGATTCTATTGATCTGAGATTGTTGCCACAACCTGCACAGCTAGGTTTCAGGATCTGAAGGAGGGGCCGATGCACAAATGAGTTCACCCAAGGAATATGGAAGGCCATGGACCTTGGACGTTAGCAGGGCTGTGTTGAGATAGCAGTGGCTCGATACAATTTGTTGACCTAATAGCCTCAAAGTAAATGTTTACTGGACCTTACTGATCTTTACTGACCTTAGAAATGGTCTGTCTGCCACCTTTTTTAAATAAATTTTTATTGTTCATATTATTACAAATGTTCCTTTCCCCCCCTTCTCACCCCACCCTCTGCCCTTTCCCCACCCCCCATTGTCCTCATCCATAGGTGCACAGTTTATGTTCAGTCTCTTCCCACATCCCCCTCTCCCCTTTTCCCCAAGAATAAACAGTTCACTCCCCTTCCATACCTCTAATTCTATTATATTCAACAGTTAATATTGTTCCTCAGATTTTTTTTTAGTTTCCTTGGTTTTTAGATTCACTTGTTGATAGTTACGTATTTGTTGTTCATAATTTTTATCTTTATTTACTTTCTCTTCTGAAAGAACATGAAACAAAATGCTCTTTTCTTTTTTATTTTTTTAAAATATATTTTATTGATTTTTTACAGAGAGGAGAAGAGAGGGATAGAGAGCTAGAAACGTCAATGAGAGAGAAACATCGACCAGCTGCTTCTTGCACACCCTCTACCGGGGATGTGCCTGCAACCAATGTACATGCCCTTGACCGGAATCAAACCTGGGACCTTTCAGTCCGCAGACCGACGCTCTACCACTGAGCCAAACCCGTTTCATCCAAAATGCTCTTTTCTAATGTGCATTATTTGATGAGCTTGGACATGTGGATACAGAAGTGACACTGTCGCATCTATATGAATAAAAGGGTAAAATGCTAATTAAACATAAAAAAAAGAAATGCTGAAGGGTATTCTTTAAGAAGAGGAAGAAGAAAAAGGTAAAGATAAAAATTATGAACAACAAAGACATCAAATATATACCTACCAACAAGTGAATCTAAAAATCAAGTGAATAAAAAATCTGAAGAATAGAATGGACTAGTAAATATAATAGAATCAGGGACATAGAAAGGGAGTGGACTAACAATTCTCAGGGAGAAGGAGTTGTGAGAGGTACGGGAAGAGATTGGACAAAAATCTTATACCTATGGATGAAGACAGTGGTGAAGGGTAAGGGCATGGGGTGGGGTGGGGAATTAGGTAGAGGGGAACTATGGGGGGTCGGGGGAGAAGGGACGCCTGTAATAATCTGAACAATAACGATTTATTTCAAAAAAATACATACAGGGGCTTTGTGAAGACTCAGAAGGGCCTACAGAGGAGGGGGTGAGCAGGGTTGAAGGGAGAGAACTGCCTAGTAATGCATGGATGATAAATCTGGGAGTCTAAGATGCCAAGTAAGTGAATGGCAAATTGATGTCATGGCCAGGTGAGCACACGCTTTACAATTATTCCCTATTTTAACATGTCATCTACTTCTTCATCAGAATTCAGCTTATGAGAACATTTAGTTACTTCTTTCGGCTCTAATTTCTGCCACTCATATATCTTTTGGGTCACACCACAGAGGAAGAGACTTGCTTTATGAATGGCAGGAGGAAGGAAAAAATACATATATGTGTACATATATTTCAAACAGGGAAGAGATATCTGTTCTAGTTCTAGGAAATAGTTATCCCACAGCACAACCAAATCACAACCAGCAGGATTTACAGACACTACTACTAAGCCAGCCCCTGGATGGGGGATGTTGAGGTTATGGGTGGGAAGCATTTCCATTGTAGGAAATCCTGGGCAAGTGTGTGCTTGAGAAGCCCAGATTCTCTCTCTCCTCATCTACAAAGCACCATCCTCATCATCATTTCTTGCCTGAAACCAAATTTATACTCAGAAAATCTGAAATAGGTTCTCACAGTAAATTGCAACATACTACAAAAAAAGACTCATATTTATTAATTCTCTGAATAACACTTTTTTTTGGCAAAGCATCAGCATAATCTCATTGATTCTCATAATCTTTCTCTTGTGTTTGTCTGAGCAGGCAGCCAGCTGTGGTAGTGTATCCAGCCCTAATGCTCCAAGAACCTGAGCTAAGATCTTTTCTTTAGCTTTACCTTCCCTGCGTCCAGTGTGTTGCTCATTAAGGATTTGTTAAGTTCATCTTATGGGACAGGTGCCCAGAAAATGATTGCTGCCTGAGATAAATCATGGCTAGCTGTTGGCCAGACTTTCCCTCCTCCTTTCTGGGCCTCCAGAGCAGTCAGGACTGAGTTCTCACTGGAGAGTGTGCCAGAAGAGCTGGTGCACTTTTCAGGCCTGACCTACAGCACTGGACTTGTCCCTGCCACAGCAACTTGGTTTGTGGGTAGAAGATGATAGAGTGAGCCACAGGATGGGAGGACCCCTGAGACACTACCCAGAGGAAAGCTGCCCAGCAGTCAGAACACTCACTTTGTACTTTATGAAACTTCTGTTTTACAGCAGCTACAATTACCTTAACTTGCCACAGCCCTGCCTTAGGCAAATGGTGATTCAGTAACTCTATGGAGTAGGGACACAAACTCATGAACCATCTTTCATTTAGCCAGTATGCCAAAGATGCAGAGAAGCACGTTAAAATCTTGAAAAGGAAGATTGATAGTCACATGATTTTCTACTTTTTTTTTTTACCTTTTACATACAGTCTAAGATTTTCCCCTCTCCTTACATATCTAGAAAATGTCTCTAAAGGCTTCAAAACCTAAGATACAAAACTAGGTGTCCTATGTGACAGTAAACAGAAGAAGGTTTCTTCCACCTGCATTTTCCTATAGTCAATTCACAGTCATATTAACACAGCCAGTTAGGTTCCAGAACACCGTGTCAGCAAGCTTGCTCCTCACAGGATGGGGGTCACATCAGATGATCCTTGTGTCTGTCCACTAAGCCCTCTGCCAATAAGGCATGAAGTCATTAAATTGCCTTCAGGCCCCTCCAACTTTGCATGGAATCCTCTTCTCTTCCATGGCAGCTTTTCCCAGAACACATTTCCCAGGCCTCTCATGTTCTGTCCATCTCCATCTTATCAAAACCTGTGCTTAGGCAATTAGCAGGATGGAAGGACCTAGAGAATCAACCCCTTTAGGTTAAAATGAATGACAGATGCACATCTCATTGATGGATTTCTAAATGTGTAGAGTATTAAGGAACCATCCTGTTTGGGTCCCTTTCACCCAGAAAAGGAAATAGACTCAGAAGAATGAAGTGACCTGCTAAGTAATGATGGACATGAGATAAGAATCCAGAGTTCTACTCTTGGCTCCTTGCCTCTCTCCTTCCCTCTTATACCTATTGCTATGTATATTTTTCCATGGAACAAACTCTGATTGTGGGCATCAGCAGAGTGGACAAAGCAAGCCCTGACCAGTGCCACTCAAATAAAATCACACTTGTTTATAAATCCAAACCTAAGCATAGACTCCAATAGGAGAAGGATACAGAGATGCTCTGCCCAGTTTTCACTCTGGCCCTGGGCAAAACAAAACAAAACCCGGCTCAGCATTTGCCACCTTCCTTTCACAGTTATTATCCAGGTATCCATCAATCAACATTATCAATGCTAACATTGAGGTGTTTGAGGGGCCTGTGGAACTTACTTTTAAAATAGTAATAAAGTTCTGTGTCACAGCTATGTGAGGATGAAGATCATTCTCAACAGACTGTTGACATTCCAGAAAATGTAGACATCACTCTGAAGGGACATACAGTTATGAAGCACCTCAGGGACTTAAATCACATCAATATGAAACTCAATCTCCTTGGAAAGAAAGAGAAGAGGCTCTAGGTTGAAAACAGTGGGGAAATAGAGAGGAACTGACCATCGTTCCCACCATCTGAAGTCATGTACAGACATGATCAAGCTATTACACTGGGCTTTCTTTATAAGATGAGGACTGTATACATTCAATTCTCCATCAGCATTTTTATTCAGGAGAACTAGAGGCCCAGTGGATGAAATTTGTGCACAGGGAGAATGTGTCCCTCAGCCCAGCCTGCACCCTCTCCAATCTGGGACCCCTCGAGAAATGTCCAACTGCTCACAATCCAGGACTGCTGGCTCCCAACTGCTCACCTGAGTACCTGCCTGATTGCCCCTAACTGCTTCTGCCTGCCAGCCTCCTCACTTCTAACCACTCCCCTGCCAACCTGATCGATGCCTAACTGCTTCCCTGCAGGCCTGATTGTCCCTAACTATCCTCCCTTGCAGGCCTGCTCCCCCACAATTGCCCTCCCTGCATTCCTGGTCCCTCCCAACTTTCCTCCTCTGTCAGCCATCTTGTGGCAGCCATCTTGTGTCCACATGGGGAAAGCCATCTTTGACCATAGGAGGGCAGCCATCTTGTGTGTTGAAGTGATGGTCTATCTGCATATTACTCTTTTGTTAGATAGGATGGTTCTCTTGTTGAAATCAGAAATTTCTTAAGTGAATAATACAGCCCTAGGTTTTAGGTGAGGTCAGGTATTGCTAGTTCAGTATCTCAAGTTCAGAAAGATGAGTTAATTCCTGAAGAAAATGACAGTGAACTTACATTAAATTCAGCTGCAAGTCACAACAGTTAAAAACAAGGACATCAGCCCTGGCCAGTTTTACTCAGTACTTAGAGCCTAGGCTTGCAGTCTGAAGGGTTGCAGGTTCGATTCTGGTCAAGGGCACGTATCTGGGTTGCAGGCTCAATCCTTGTCCTGTCAGGGCAGATGGGGGAGGCAATCAATCAATCAATGTGTCTCTCTCACATTGATGTCTCTCTCCCTCTCTTCCATTCTTTTTATTTAAATCAATGGAAAAAATATCCTGGGGTGAGGATTAACTAAAAACAATCCTATCTAATAAAAGAGTAACATGTAAATTAACCATCACTCTGCAACAAAAATGGCGGCACCCATAGCAGACGCTGGTGGGTTGGCCTGGCAATGGGAGCCCTGCATCTGCTCCTTGGCCACAGAGGGAAGGGAGGGTACTCTGGCCAGAGGACTATGCGCGGTATGCTGAACTCCTGTCACCAGAGACAGCACGAGCTTACCATCTGAGCCTTGGCCAGGCCAGCCATGTGGCGGGAGAGAAGGAGCCTGTGGGGCTGCGAGCCCAGTGTCCATGCCCCAGCCAGCCATGTGGAGGGAAAGGGGGAACCAGAAAAATTGATCTTTCCAGTTCCTGATGCTGAGGGAGCCCTATGGGTGCCAGGATCCTCCACCTGCAGCCCCCAGTCACAGTCCATCCAGAGGCTGGAAGCCCCCGGCCCACAGTACAGATGTGACCAACATGGTGCCGTGATGCAGGAGTGTCTGGCAGGCATGCTACAGGCATCAAATCACTGCTGCCAACACCGTCCCCCCACACTCGCAAGTAGTATGGTCCAACTCAGGGGGCGACTCCTGAGGCAAGGCTCCCAAGGCAGCTGATGCGCACCACACCAGGTGGGGAAGCCAGACCTGAAAGCCCAAGCCCCCGAGTACCCGAACTGCAGGGTTTCGTGGGCTAGGGCCCTGAGGAGGCCCCAGGACAAGCATCTTCCCAGAGGCTGTGTGGAAGGAGGGGAGAAACCTCTGGCTAGAGGCCGGGGTGAGGGATGCTGGCATCTTTGCAGGTCGGTCTGAGAGACAAACCCCTCCCCCACCTCTGCACCCCCGTGCACGAATTTCATGCACCGGGCCTCTAGTAAGGATATAAGGAAATGTTAGATGGTATTTATGTTTCTGAAAAAGGAACAGCTCAGCAGGCTGATGAATAAGATTTAAGTGTCTGGCTATAGAAACAGCAAGATGCCCAATGATTCCTCGGGTTTACTGGTGATTATAAGATGCAGTAAGACATGTATTAATTTGGGGGGGGGGGATAGTAATGAAACCCTAGAGACTCCTTATATCTCTAAGACTACACCCACCTTTGGGAAGTCCACCACAATTGCATGCTATAAGAGACAAAAACTAGATTTGCCCCTGAATCGTTGAGGAATATCAGACTCAAAATCAGATTAATTTATATATTCAGAATTGACCTACGTATTGAAAAAAAATGGTCTGAGTCATGGCTGTTTTCAATAAATTGAGGAGAAAGAGAGAAATTGATTTGCTGCATATATTAAATATAGGCACATTCATTGGTTTTTATGCTGAAACTAATTTTGGATGATTTTTTTTTTCAGTCTTAACCAATTGCTTTCATAGCCTATATATATAGTGAGTAGGAGGTTATTCTCCATCTTAGCAGATATTTCATTGTCAAAGTCTTCTTTAGAATAGTTAGGTGTCCATTGATTTCATAGGTGCATTTGCCTTTTTTTATTATTTGAATGGTGAGAGTAATTTGTCTTCCTCAGCCATTTTGTGTTTGGGGACCAGAGGATATTTATAAATTCTGGAAGCATAACAGATGGCTTCTCCTCTCTTGATGAAAGTGAGCAGGTTTGTCCTGTCCCATAGTAGCTCTTTCTGTGGCACTGCATCTTCCCATCAAGCAACTAAAGGCGGCACTGAAACCCTAACAGAGTCACACAGACCAGAGCAACGCAGAGAAGGGCAGTAAGGAGCGTGTGCCCATTCTATGAGCAGAGGCAGCGCTTTCTAGTGCACACGCAGAGAGAGGGGCAGGAACTGTGAAACCAGTTCACGTTCACTAGGTATGACGTATGACGTATGACATATGAAGTATGAAGTGGGAAATCACAAGCAATCACCATTGAAGGTTTGGAGAAGTTAAACTAATGTGTCTCTACTGATGCCATGCTTAAGGTGCCTCTTTTTAAAATTAAATCCACGCAGAAAAACAAACAAAAAGGAAAAACATAAAAACAAATAAAAAGAAAAAAAGACTCATAATAATCACTGGAAAACAGTAATGAACTCCATTAATGTAAAAGAACTTGCTTTACATAAAGCACATACTATGATAAAGAATAAGACAACAAACCAGTCAGAGTGTAGCATAATCCCTAAGCAACCTGACGCTTTCGAATTAATCATTTTAGCTTCCAGTCCGAATTTGAATGCAAGAGTTTCTGAATTCAGCAGACAGGGTTATCTAAATTAAATCAACAGTGCAAGTCTGTGAGTGTCCCACGAAGTCCTTGTCGCAGGCCAGCTGGCCTTCCTGCCTGTTGATATTCTCCTGGGACATGAAGATTTCCCACGTGCCAAGGTGACGTTAGGGTTCAAGTCTTCTTTCAGTCACTGTGCTGCCTGGCCGCCCTTTTCACACCCACTCAGACCTTCGGGTCCCCAGGGGAGGGGCGCTCCCAGCGCCAGCCTGGCGGGCTGCGGGCTGCCAGGGACTGGACAGGCGGTGCGGGGCCAGCAGACGGCGGGGCCTTGAGAGATGCTCACTTTCAGAGTCCGGGGGGCGCTCTGCGTGGGGCCTGACCCCAGGCTCTGTGCAAGCCCTGGAGAGCTTGTCGCTGGCCAAGGACAGCCCCTCACTCTCATCCTCTGGAAGCTCCGACACAGCCCACTGACCACTGGGGCTGTGGGCCCCGTGCCCTCTGGTGCACAGGCCTGAGTGTGCTAGCGACACCCTCTCCTCCCCGGGCCTATCCAGCACCACGGGGTCCGGCCTCCTTTCCCGGGGGCCCTCGGTGGGTCCCGGCCCCCTCGGCATCCTCCTGCCCAAGCTACAGAGCAGGTCGGCCACGCTGAGCAGCACAGAGAGCGCGCTGAGTGCCCAGAGGAAGAGCATCAGCGTGGACTTCTCCGTGGGCCGAGAGACGTAGCAATCCACCGCGCCAGAGCAGGGAGAGTGGGCGCAGGAAAATCTGTTGGGGACAGAGAATCCGAAAAGGAGGTAATGCAAGGCCCCGAAAGCTGTCTCTGCCAGGGTCCGAAGACAGAGGTGCACAATGTAGCCGGAGGAAAAGTCTGGCACCACTAGGCTGCGCCCCTCCCTGCAGTGAAGAGGGCAGCGCCTATCCCTGGGGCTCAGATCTGCGAGGTCCTGGCTCCCTGAACCACCATCTGTCCCACAGGGTCCCCAGGCGGCGAGCTGAGCTCCTTTGTGCAGCACATAGACACTGAAAACCGCAGAAGGGAGGAGAACAGACAAGCTTTGGATCAGCCAGAAGCGTAGGTGGGACACTGGGGAGAAAACATCATAGCAGACATTGGCGCACCCTGGCTGCAGAGTGTTGCACACAAACCTCTCCTGTTCATCCTGGTAAACGGGGGACCCAGCCACAATGATCACCACCATCCTCAGCAGGATCATGAAGATAAGCCAGATCTTCCCTGGAAAAGAGAAGGACACTACCATGGAAACAGACTTCCTCCTAACAATGATGTTTAAATATGTCCTGGGGCTGAGAGTGAAGTGTGAAGTCCAAAAGCATGCATTTTAGTCATAGCAACAGTATTAGCTAGTTTGCATGTGACAAATATTTATTGAGCATTTACAATGTGTCAGTCAGTGTGAACTACTTGTTTGTGAAATGTATTGAAATTAGCAGATGTTAAAGAAGAGTAATTACAGAAAATGATTAATTTGACTATGCTAGTTCAGACTTTTGGTAATGTCTCCTGGACTGAAAGTTCTAGAAAGAAAGTTGAGCTGAGAAAATGAATGATGCAAATAAGAACTTACTTTTTTAGAAGATTAAACTTCTTAAAGGATATTAGTACATTCCTATAACTGTGTAGAGCAAATACAATAAGTCTTTATGAGACCCAGCACATGAAAATTCATACACTGGAGGGGGGATGCTTCAGCCCGGCCTGCCCCCTCTCACAGTCCAAGATCCCTCAGGGGCGGGAGGAGACCCAGCGATCAGGAGAAGGCGATGTCCCCATCACACCTCTGCTGCTTGCCAGCAGTGCAAGCCTCAGCTGGCCCTGGTTACTTGAGCCTTGGGCAGCCCTGGACGGCTGGGGGCTGAGGGCAGGTCTGGCTGCACCACACACCTGCTACCACTGTCCCAGGTGGGGCTGAAAGGACAGGGAGAGTCTGGTGAGGCTGAGGGGATTGGGTGCTGCCATCTTTGTGATGGTGTGATGGTCAATTTGCATATTCCCTCTTTACTAGATAGGATAATGGTCTACAAGACCTTCATTTAGTAACAGAACTTGTATTTATTTTTTTAAATACATATTTTATTGATTTGAGAGAGGAAGGGTTGGGAAGAAAGACATCAATCAGCTGCCTCCTGCATGCCCCCTACTGGGCATGGAGCTGCAATGTGGGCATGTGCCCTGACCGGGAAGGGAATTGAACCAGTGACCTTTTGGCTTATGAGACAAGGCTCAATCCACTGAGCAACATGGGCCAGGCAACAGGTTTTGTACTTAATGTTGCTTTATGGCTCTTGGGATCAAATTCTTTAAACCCTGTCTTGGTGCCTCCATTGGTGAGAGTGTGTCCAGCACACCAAAAGGTGGGAGGTTCAACTCCTGGTCAGGGCACATACCAAGATTGCAGGTTCCATCCTGACTCAGGGATGTTTCTGAGTGGTGACCGATCTATGTCTCTCTTTCTCTTCCCCACTCTCTAAAAATCGATAATCATGTCCTCCCGTGAGGATTAACAAAAACATTCTTTAAGAATAATCCATTTTTCAGAACTTTCAGTAATTTAGAATTCCTTTCCCTATTTCAGTGATTATAATTAATGAGGTTTGTCTTTTTTCAACTTATCATGAATAAATATGGTCAGCCTGGGGAATCAAAATAACTTTTAAAGTCTTCTTTTCATGTCACGAGTCAACTATTTTGAAACATGTTGTTTAAGGCTCAGTGAAAATAATTTGTAAATACTTTGTTTTGTGATAAGATACAGAAAACATCACCTTATAGAAAAACAAAACTCTATTATAAATGAAGGTAGTTAAATAATATTATTATGTGATGAAGTTATTGACTCAAACTTTTAAAGGCCAACTTGATTTTGTTTCAATTATACAAAATAACAAGTAAGAAAAATACCAATGACTAATCCTTTTTTCAATCTCTTTTTCTAGGACACCCATACCTCTCTAAAAATGTGTCTTATTTGTACTAAATTTAGAAGTCTTTAGTACTTTTTTTTGTTTAAAAAATAACTAAAATTGGGATTTGGTCTAAAGCACAAAAGAAATTGCTATTCTTTACAAATTAAGCTTCAAGATTAAACTCTAAAATGATGAACAAGAAGAAAGCATAACAGGCATTAATATATCTTTAACTTTTATTATTGTGCCTTTCCTGGTAATGCAGCCAGAGAAGTGTTACCTCTTTCACCTGCTCAGGCTTTAGACGCAGCACCAGAGTATCAGCAAGAAGAGGCCTCAGGAGAGAAAGACTCACTTCCTTAAATGATGGAGGAACCATGGTGAAGTCAGGAGCTTGAACCCACAGCCCCCTTTTGCTCCCGCAGTGCACAGACTTTTGCACTTCGTGTTGGTGTGGGTGTGGAAACCAATAAAAAAAAAAAAAAAAAAAAAAAAAAAAACAGAATAAGACCGTGGGGGGTGTTTCCTGTACTCACCCACAATAGTCACATTGCAGTTTAACGTGATGATGAGGAACCCAAGCAAGTCCAAACGGTCCATGCTTCCAGAATGTTGAAGATTCAAGGCTGCTGGGTATGTCAGAAGATTGTTGTTTCCAAGGAGGTGAAAAATCTTTGGAGAAATAAGAGTATGTTAGCTACAAAATAGTTAAAAATGAAAGTTAGAAATATGAAAGGAAAGATTTGAGCCCAGGAGCAAGAGGTCAGTTTTTCTGTCCCGAGCTGTTTGCCTCTAGGCAAAGTGTTCCTGACAACTGTGGGGACCAGAAGACTGCAGGAGTCATCTCTCATGTGGGCTATTCTTACCCTCTGGGGACATTCCAGGCCCTTAGTAGTGCTCACGTGTCTTCACCAGAAGAGACAAAGGCTTTAGGGTATACTGTATAATAGAAGTGACTACATTTAGCCCAAGATAAAAAAGTGCTATTAACTAGCCAAGTAAATTCTCTATGAAAAAAAGGGTGTTTTCTCCTTGAAAACATTTCCACACAATCTCACCTATTAAAGAAACACTAAAATGTTCATGTTTTGTCTTTTTCATGAAGCATAACCCATTATAACTCGAAAAGCTCTTGTCTTCATTCTCAATTCCTGGCAGGGTAGGGGAACATCTAGCCTAAGAAATCATTTGATCTGGCCCTGCCAAGGCCTTAGGGGTATTAGTTAAATGTTTGACCAAATATAGCAGGCTAATTTTTAAGTTAATAAGTGTATGGCCTGAGAAGGATGTTATAAATATCCACATGGCACAGACTTTGACACACTCCATCGCTGATGGTCTGGTGCTTCGATGCAACATTCTTGGTGAAGAAGCACTTAACTTCTTAGTCTGAGTTGGCACTGAAACTTTTTCAGTTGGCTGAGGCATTAGGGGGATTTCATGGCTAGAACTGACTGCTTCAGTTTCAGGCTCTGGTTCTTTGGTTTTTTGGTTCCACACTTTATGTCACTCTTTCTTTGCTCTTGGTTCCTGAGTGACCGTGAGCTGCTCATTGCTGGTAGAGGAGATACTGGATTCTGCCTCCTCCTCCCCAACTGCCTCATTCTTAGACTTCCAAAATCTTCCTTTCACATAGGAAATGCTGATACAGTTCCTGCTCATCACAGGCCTTTCCCCAACCCACACTGTGTTATACATGCAGCCGATGGACACTGACTGTGATGTCCTGTGTGTTTCAGAAGGAATCCAAGCCCTTTGATGGTGGTGACCAAAGAAGCAGACGTCAACCTGATTCTCCTCCTTCTGAATGACATTGGCTGGCCAGAATCCAAAACCTTTTATCTTAGCCCAAATCAGTTCATGATTAGGTATTCAAGGATAGCAGAACCAATGGTCAAGACCAGCATTTGATAAATAGAAGCAATTCTTACAAAGCTGTAGCTCATTCATCTCATGACAGGTGGCTTAAAACAGAATCCTTGCTGTCAGGTTGCTCTCTGTTTGCTCCATAGAAATTCACTGTGTTGTGGAGAAGTAGCTGACCATCAGCTTTGAACTCTTCATAACTTCTATATTTCCCTGCTCACCTGCCTGTCTTCCTGATTGCCCCTAACTGCTTCTGCTTGCCAGACTGACCACCCCTAACCACTCCCATGCCAGCCTTATTGATGTCTAACTGCTCCATTGCCAGCCTGTTTGGCCCCAACTTCCCTCCTCTGCCAGCCTGGTCACCCCTAACTGCCCCCCTACTTGCAGGGTTGATCACCTCCAATTGCCCTCTGTTGTAGGTCTGGTCCCTCTCAACTGCCCTCCCTTGCAGGCCTGGTCCCTCCCAACAGCCCTCCCCTGTTGGCCATCTTGTGGTGGCTATCTTGTATCCACATGGGGGCAGCTGTCTTGTGTGTTGGAGTGATGGTCAATCTGCATATTACTCTTTTATTAGATAGGATAGAGGCCTGGTGCACGGGTGAGGGCCAGCTGGTTTGCCCTGAAGGGTGTCCCTGATCAGGGTGGGGGTTCCCTTGGGGGTTCCCTTGGAGTTCCCTTGGAGTATGTTTCATTCCAAGCTCAAAATGACAAAGGGCACCTAGGGAAACTGAATTCAGCTTCTGGAAGGCTTGGAAATAAGTGCTTAATTTTTTTCTGTTTTGTGTGTGTGTGTGATTATCTTAACCCTGGGCGAGGGGCCTGTGGGTTTCAGGCCAGCCACACACCCCGGTGACCCAAGAGGAGGCCCTGGTATCTGGGGTTTATTTATCTTCTACAATTGAAATTTTGTAGCCTGGAGTGGCCAAGTCTCCTGCTTGCTCTGTGGTGGCAGCCATTTCTGTTGGGGTTTATGTATCTTCTATAATTGAAACTTTGTAGCCTTGAGTGAAGGCCTGAGCTGGCCAGAGCTGCAGAAGCTTGGCTTCCTCCATCGCCGGGGACAACCCTAGCCTTCTGCTCTTTCAGTTCCATGGCTGCTGCCATTTCTGTTGGAATTTATTTACCTTCTATAATTGAAACTTTATACCCTTGAGTGGAGGCCTGGGCCCACCAGGGTGTGTGGAAAGTTTGGCTTCCTCCATTTCCAGGGAAACTCAAGCCTCCTCCTGCTCTCTGTGGCTGCAGCCATCTTGGTTGGGGTTAATTTGCATACTCATTCTGATTGGCTTGTGGGCATGGCTGTTGGTGAAGTAGGGTAATGGTTAATTTGTATATTACTCTTTTATTAGATGGGATATCACATATCATATTTATGGGTCAGGACAAGCCATTCACACTACAGCTATTGTCATTTTATTTTTAGACATATTGTTGGCTGTTGTCATTTCTATTTGATAATCTAAGCAGTGTTTCCCAAAGTGTGGTATGCATACCCCCAGGGGTATGGGAAGAGTTTGGTGGGGGTACACGTTGCACCGGAGTTTGGTGGGGATATGCACTGCACCGTGCTTAGTTGCGCCTAATTCTACATTCTCATGAGTATGAGGGGTACTCAGTGTTATGAAAATTATAGAAAGGGTACACATATGTCAAAAGTTTGGGAAACACTGATCTAAGGGAAAAGAGGTCAGTGCTCCTGACTAGTCAGGTATTGCATGTTTTTAAAATTGTACTAGAGAAAAGAAAAATTGAGGCCTATATGAATCAATTCGCAAGAGGAATGTGTCCCTAAGAGCCATGGGGACTAGAGAGGTATTTAAAGTGGAGGAAAGAATCAAAGCTCCAGATCTGACCCACTCCTACTACTTCAGCCACACACCTCCACTATTATCTGCATTGTTTTTATGCTTTGGCCAAGACTCAACTTGAATAAAGGAGTCTGTATCAAAAAAAAAAAAAAAAAAAGGATATGTTAGAAAACATCTGCCTACATGAACGTAATTATGGAAGGCACTCTAGTACATGAAGGCAAAGTACCCAAGCTCTGGCTCTGACAGCCTGGATTAAAATTCTAGCTTCTTAACCTTGGAAGAGTTACTTTACTCGGTTTCCTCATTATAAAATCACAGTGTCTAACCCTTACCCTAGAATAATTGTGAAGAATAAATAAGAAAATATGTAAAGAATGTAAAATAGTACACAGCCAATGATGTGTACACAATTATTGTCAATCCTCATTCTTATTACCTGCCAAGAATAAGGTAGCAGTGAAGAGTGTGAAGCTTGAAGTGGCTTTTCCAAAAGGTGAGTGCTCCATGGTCCTAATTGTTTGGCTCAGAAACCTGGCAATAGAAGGATATATTTCATCCCAAGCTCAAAATGACAAAGTGCACCTAGGGAAACTGAATTCAGCTTCTGGAAGGCTTGGAAATAATGGTTGCTTTTTTTCCTGTTTTGTATGTCTGTGGGAATATCTGAATTATCTAATTTTAGAAATTAATATTTTGCTTGTTCTCAGAGTTTAAATGACTTTTCAGAACTGTGGATAGAAAGCAAGTTTCAACAGCTGCACCAACAAACCAACCATGTCTAGAGTCGCATCTTATTTGTGTCTGTAAAATCTAGTAACAAAAGAGATTATAACCAACTAGAGGCACAGAGCACATATGCATGCACAGGTAAGGTCCCTAGCGACTGCCAACTGCCAGCCAGGGCCTCCCTTTTCACACGCCTTGGTCTAGCACCACCCACTCACCTGCTCCACCATCCCACTGTAGGCCACTCTTTCCAGGGCCTACCAGGCCAGCAGCACCTGCGCTGCTGCCTACTGCCAGCACCATATTGCTGACACCAGCCATGTTCTGCACTGCCCCCCTGGTGGTCAGCGTACATCTAACTTCCACTCGGTTGAACTTCCTCCCATGGGGACAATTTGCATAGTAGCCTTTTATTATGTAGGATTGATTTTTTTTTTTTGATTTTTTTTTTTTTTTACAATATAGCTTACCACAGGCATGGGTCCTATAGGGTGAACCAGCTGGGTGCAAACCTTCTCACACCCACACTCACATACTCCCCCGCACTAGACTTACAGCTGAAAATTAACAATCTGGGCAACAGGACACCTGAAAAACTGGTACAAGGAGGAAATGTTCTTCTGCTGAGTCACTTCCTGTTCTTAGGGTTCCAAAAATGTCATTCTTGAATGTATTTTGAACTCTAGTTCAATTCAACTTCACAGGAACAAAGGCAAATGTCTTCTACCTACCAACATAATATTGTTGGCATCACTTGGAATTTGTTTTTGAGTAGTTGAGCAGGTTCTTACAAGCAGAGAAGTGAGACTTCTATCCCAAAGAAGCAAATTAACCATCACCCTACTTCAGCTCAGATCTTTTAGGAGACATTTTAGCAACACAAAGCTGTCTTCTCAACCATGACACAGTGCAGCCTCCCCAGGTCACAGGAAGGCATGCTTGCCAAAGATCATGTAGTAAAGTGATTATCTAAACTGCCTGTCAGAGGAAAGCATGTCAGATGAAGAATGCAAATCTGCCCTGGTCAGTGTTTCTCAGTGGTTGGAACATGCACCGAAGGGTCTTGGGTTCAATTCCTGATCAAGGGCACATACCTGGGCTTTAGCTGGTTTGGCTCAGTGAATAGAGCATTGGCCTGTGGACTAAAGGGTCCTGAGTTTGATTCCAGTCAAGGGCACATGCCCAGGTTGTGGGCTCAATACCCAGTTAGGGGGGCATCCAGGAGGCAGCCAATCAATGATTCTCTCTCATCATTCATGTTTCTCT